AGTAGGTAAAGAAAAAGCACTGAATAATAATCTCAATAAATGCCCAAAAAGCATTTGATAAATTCAATATCCATTTCTCATAAAACAGCACATAAAGTCTTGGTCAACTATAAAGGATATATCCTTAACATCAAGGAAACATGATAGGAAATGACACCTCTCATTGCTTTTATTTAAAAAGAGAAGGAAAATCTCTATTAAATATAATTAAATACAGAGAATAAGAAGATATATAGGATAATCACACACAGTCAAAAGTAACAACTGAAAAATTAGGATTAAACAAAGTTCAGTATATAAAAAATGTGCAACATAAATATAACAGAAATTTATATTCTATGAATAAAAATAGGAAAATATATTTTTCATAATATAAATAATAAAAATTTTCAAGGAGTAAACTTAAGAAAAATAAGTGGACTTAACTGAAGGAAAAAAACAAACTTTACAGAAGGGCATACAAAGACGTAACATACTTCTAGCTTTGAAGTTAATTTTTCTGAAATAAACTTCATATTAAATATATTTTGAATCAAAATTCCTTTGAGGATTACTTTCAAAAGTTAGAAAAGTGACCCTAAAATTCATATGAAAAAACTAATTGGTCTGAAAATAAAACCAAGGAAAGTTTTGAGAGAGAGGGATAATGGTGAAGATTGGCCCCACCAGTTTTTTAAATATTTAAGAGCTAAAATAGTTAAAAATGGTATGGTACTAGAATAAGAACAGAAAATATAAAGGAAGAAGATGAGTCCAAAAGGCTTTATTAAGATAAAAGTTTCATTATAAATAGTGTTAAGAGAAAAAAGATTATTCAGTAAATGAGGCCAGGATAATTAACCATTCAGAAAAATAAAATAAAATTACTGCCTAATTTAATGGCATTTGCCAAAACAAATGCCGGATGAACTAACACGTTATTTGTGAAACGTGAAATAACATCTAGGAAAAATACATATAACTATTCTGCTGACAAAGGCATTGGGAAATTCTTTATATGCATAATAGCAATGTTACAAGCTGCAAAGAAAGTAGACAAATCAGACTACTTATTTAAAAACATACTAAAATTAAATAATAAACAGCAATCTTGAAAACAAATTATATTTTACTAATTAATATCTTTAATATATAAAGGTTCATAAACCAATTCTGACCTATACTAAATTACATAGTCAAGAACGTTCGTTGCACTGTTATTTGCAACTGTTCCCCCACCAAACAAACTTTTGGGTCCAAATTTGGTTAAATAACAAGAATATATATACAAAAAGAATGCATTAGACAAAATAAAAAGAAATACACCAAAGTGGTTTATTTTTAGGGTATATGATTACTAATGCAAGTTTTCTTTGTTATAGTTATAACTCTCTGCCAAAACAAATACATATTACTTTTATAATTAGAAAAATACTATAAAAACAAACACATTAATGATCATTTTCATAGACACATGATTATCAGAATTCAAAAGTTTCCATAAATGTAAAAGTTCACAAGGGATTGTAAATTAAAGTGTTTTTGCATGCCAAAAGCCCCTTTAAGCTTTATGGTTCTATTAATCTTAATTTGGCATGAAAATGCAGTTACAAGTCAGTCAATACTGCCTTATATTGTTTCATTTTTCTCTCCAAGAGACTTTAATGAATGAAAATTAAAGGGATCAGTTTTCACACAAATACATCTAAACATCACTGCAATGTTATACAAGGGGTCACACAACCGGAAAAGCCTAAAATAAAGGTATTTTCATGTTAATATTTTTTTGTGTGAATATTTAGAACAGAATCAATTTAACACTGGTCATTCTATGTTAAGTTTTTATTTGGCAAACCTCATTGAAGCACTCCAAACAGGAATATGACTAGCCTGTAAGGCCTTTAGGAAAGGACAAAATTTCTCTAAAAATCTTTATTGACAGAAAGTATAATTTTGTATCTACTACTGAAATCTCATCTGATTTAACTCTTGTTCTTTAAAAATATATATAGCTGTAGTCAATTTGCTTTACTTAGGCAATCTAATTTAAAATTAAAAACTTTTTACTAGGTATTCCTAATACTTTGATCTATTTTTTGCCTGTCTGTGTAGTCTTTCTACATTTTTCACAGCTCCCAAGTTATAAACCCACATGACAAAATAGGGTTTTAGGCAATGTACAATCAAATAAGAGTAACTTGGACCTCTGACATGTTTTAATGCTGTGGAAGACAAATGTACTTCTTAGCCTGTGTTCTGCTGCTAATACATTTACTCTGCTATGTCTTTTACCACACTCATATTATTTGTATGTATGTATACTAGTTGTCTGTAAAATCATTCATACTTTGAGCAGCTTATTTATTCACACCAACTGGAAGTCCCAGCTAACTTTATTCCTAATTACTTGACCAACCTTTTCTACCCACTCAGTCTGATACCACACAAATTTAACAAGCTTGCCTTCCCACCTATTATGACTCACTCATGGAATCTGAGTTCTAGCCTTATATCTGCCTCTTACAAGTTTTGTAATACTGGAAGAGCCACCCAGCTTCTCTGGGTTTCGATGCTTTCATCTATACAAAAGGGACAGGAGTGTACTAGAAGTTACAAAGTCTTTTGTAACAGTGAAACTTTATTATTAATATTATGGATCAGATTCCATTCAAATCATTCTTTATTAAATTAGTGCCTACTATGTGGAAATACTGTGGGGAATGCAACAGTAATAAATTACATTCTTAGCAAAATGTTTTTAAACTAAAATAACCAGACTCTGGTATAGCACTATAATGACTATAAAGAGAGGCATATCATTAGCACAATTCTTTCCAATTCTATGAACAGAACTGGCATTTCTTTCCTAGTCATGTTGTTGTCAAGAATTTCCCTTACATACGATAGTTGACCTTTGAATAATGTGGGGTTTAGAGGTACCAACCTCTGTGCAGTCAAAAATCCATTTATAACTTTGACTCCCCCAAATCTTAACTAATAGCCTACTGACAACATAAACAGTCGATTAACACATATTTTTTATATTATATATACTATACACTATATCTTACAATAGAGTAAACTAGAGAAAAGGTTTTTCTAAACTGTTGCAAATCTTCAAAAAATTTTCCAATATATATATTGAAAAAATCTGTGTATAATGGACCTGTGCAGTTCAAACCTGTGTTGTTCCAGGGTCAACTGTACTTCCTTTTAAAACTCTAGGTTCATTTCATTTCTGCTGCTCTCTACTGAACAGCAAATTAATTACTCAAAATTGAAGTTCCCACTCTCCCCCTCAAAACAATGTAATGTTTTTGTTCTTTCCCTTTTGTTTAGGAAAAACCTTTAACTTTCTCAGTGAAATAAATTCTAAGGATTATGGAAACCTTAGAAAATGAATTAATAAAAACTTCAGAAAAATATTACAGAAAAATATAACCATACATTGTCCATGGCAGGAAACTTTCAGGAACATTAAGGATTATTTAAATGGGTAGCATTTAGTACTTTTCTGTCTCTAATGGTAAGCAAAGGGTTGTGCAATGGAAGGATGTCGCTTCAAAATACATATAAATATCCCAGGTATACTTATTAGTTCATTATGGAAATATGTATTAATTTGTCTAATTTGCCCTTTGGGAAACTAGTGACAAGTCTTTGGATAAAATTCTCAACATTTCCTACTTCAGTCAACTTTTAGAATTCTAGAGGTAAAAGATTGCCTTACTTATTTTATAGATGACATGTGACAAAATGAGTTGCTAAAACCCTTGCCAAACTCATGCAAGTTTAGTGATGGAATCTATTCTCTTGATCCTCAATCCAAGATTTCTTCAACATATCACACGTTTGCTGATATTAATAATCTTTTAATGAGCTGAAATTTGCTTTTTTGTAGTTTTATGGGGTATCTCTATATTAATTAACTGAATTTGGTGATTAATTCATGCTTATTGTAAATACACATATTTTCTTGATGAGGGCAGGGGCTGTGTGTATCTTTTTTACAGTATCCTCAGAAGTTATTACAGGGTCTGGCACATAGTAGGTATTCAACAGACTGTTATAAATTGAGAGAATGAACTTTATAGACTTGGATTATGTGCACTCCTAGCTCTAATTTTCATAAAGAGAAAAAATCTAAAGCTCTTCAGTTTAACTTTGTTCCCTCAGACATTTTTCTCTAGATTTCCTCTGGCTCTACTATGTTTCTTAACGTGAGGGATCAGAATTTTGAATGAGGGTGGAAAGTTTTCTTTCTAGATACCAATAATCCCAAGTAGTGTCTTTGCATCATCCTACACTCGTTAACAATAGCATTTGTTTGACACTTTTCCTCCAAACTGTATAATTAATGCTTCTTGGTTTGACATTTCAATACCCAGAACATTCTGGTTTTATTTCATCTGTCACAATAAATTCTCTCTTCAAAATCAATTATAAAATTATTAAACAAGAGATTTAGCAACTATTAACTTTTCTCTATCCAGAAAGGCCCTTTGATTGGCCTCCGTAAATTTATTTCCTGTGTTTAAATAAATTATCTGTATAATCAAAATTATCTGAATGTCTAATATGTGCAAACCACTGAACTCGCTCATCCATGAGTAATTCACAATACTCCAGAAACTTATCTTTTCCTTTGGTTGGCACCAAGGATAATAAAAGTTTGGAATTCACGAAAAAGGCCTTTAGAAAATCTTAATAAAAAGCATGTTCTAGCTTTTCCTTATGCATTGGCTTATTTATTGTCTCCCACTGTCCTTCTAACCCCAGCACACCTTTCTTGTCATTCTTAACAGCTCTAAAGGGATCCTTTTATTTAGGAATCCTGTCCATTATTAAATATGTTACCAGAGAAGCTTAGAGACAGAAGAAATCTTAGAGATTTCTAAGTTGAAGTCTCATATACGAGTCTGATATTCACCAACAATAAAAAAAAAAAATCACTGTAGCCAAGTATAGGACCCAAGTTCTTCAAAACATCAGTATGCCTGGCATACACACACTATACTTACTTGTACTCGTCATAGACTTCTTGTTTGGGGAGTGAAGTCTCAGGATGTTCCTCTAGGGTATTCCGAATCCAGGAAAAGGCATGCATTTGCTGTGCCCGACTAGATGACATGGCATTCTGATCACTGATCAAAAAAAAAAATTTGTATTAGCTGAGCTAGACAGCAAGTAATTGATAACTTTTGAACCAACCTAAATGTTCCCCTAAAGAATTGTGTGTAAACACATTATAAATGACCAAGCCAAACTCGGGACATACAACAAATGCTTAGTTATCTATATACAAATTGTCCACCTGTGGTTGTGAGCTATTTCTACAGCTAGTGTCTGGAGTTATTTATTGCCCTGTTCCATCCCTTCCTCCTCATCGTCTTGAGTGGCACTGGTGTTGGGGCATAGAAAACGTTAGGTATTTGTTTGGGTCAAAATTACCTTTATGTGGATATTTGCTCACTTACTTGGCTGTTCATTTGCCTAAACTTACCAAATCATCAAACTTTTAAAATAAAAGTTATGGAAAAAATTGTTTATTTTCTATTTGCTTAGCATTCTCAAGTAACCACCTTGAAAATGTTCTAAAGCCACTCTATGTTTCAGAATGGAATTCACACCAGAGAGATCTAGAGAGGACAAATATCTCCCCACAGTCCTTCGTATAGCTGGGTGCTCTCCCCAAGCCAAAACTCCCACTAAACATTCTTAAGTTTTTATTATATGGCAGTGTCATTTATAAGTTACATCCATAAAAAGAACACCCAAGATAGCATGAAGGAAGCTCCTCTATTGATTCTGGTATTCATCTCAGCTAACTATAACAATAGTTTATTTAATCCAAAAGAAGATTTGAGCAAGTTTCAAGGACAAAAAAATGATAACAATAGTTTTAAAATTTTGTCTGAGGAAGAAAGGGTAAAGGCAACTGAATTTTCATTCCATTCCCTTTTATATACAATTTTAAAGTGATAGAATGTTAAGTATAGCATATAAATGAAATAAATCCTGGATTATACTTAACAGGGTAAAGAAACTCATTTAGCAATAGAAGACACGAAGTAACAACTTTTCCATTTTCTAGACGAGACTATTACATATTTATAATAATGAAAATATAGTAATACCCTCAAGCACTTAAAACATTTTACATTTATAATAAATTCATGTTCCATACAGGCAATTTCACTTTTTTCTTTTTTATATTCTGTGATCTGTTTACCTGACAGTACTTAAAAAATATCTTGCAACGTTATTGCTCATAATACTGTTTATTCTGGTTTTCTGTCCAATTTTCAAATCTTCTATATAATAAACTATTGACATGCATATCAATTCATATGCATATTGCTATGCATAAATTTACTGATCTGTTTATAAAACATAACCCAAATTGCATTTCACAGCATTTACAAAGGTACATAAATCCATCAGCAAAACTGCAGGTAACCACCTACCCAATATGATCAGAGACTAAAAAGACCTCCTGTATAGCTATTTTGTTTTCTGATGATTTTAGGAGTGGTGTAAAACAGTAACAGCCACAACACACAAACTTCAGATACATCTTAGTGATGTCCTATGGACAGTGTTCAATTAAGGCAAAGACAGAAGAGATATACCTTTTCTCTCCATTGCTCAGACCAGAAGGCAGTTGAAGGTAGAGGTAGAGTTTCTCTAGGTCTGTAAACTTCCCAACTTCTTTCTGGTTACAAAGGATTAAAAAGAAAGATCATTTTAAAAACATTTGTTTCTCCCTCAACAAAATTTACTAACATCACCCTAAAAAATATTGACTGTCTAAATTTAAATTCCACCTAAATTCAGATGGAATGAATTACCTGTCAAAGAAAACAAAACTAAACTTTTTTCTCAACACCAAAATAATACATTGTTCCATTAATATATTGCATATAAAAAGTTGGTAAGAGAAAATGATACTTTGCCATTAATTCTTATATTCTAGGAATAAACAAAACCACGGATCAATGCTTAGCCAAAGTTTCTCTTCTTAATCACATATATAGAAGGAAGTTTGTACAGTATTACAGGAAAATAATAGATTAAAAGCCAAGATAATATTTTTAGTTTTACCCTAACCATTTAACTGGCTTTTAGACTTTGGTGTTCTGGAGAATTTTTCTTACAACTATAAAATGGATGAGATGACTTCTAGAATCCTTTTCTAACTCCCAAAAACCTAGAACACATGACTGATGATGTCATTGTCACCTGTGGCTGGATGTGAGGTTTAAACATGCTGAACTTGCAACAGTGGCTACTATTTGGAGAACTTACTTGTAAGATTCCTTATTACTAATGTTCTGTAACCATGTCATTTTGTTTCTGACAAATTTTTCTATCTTACAATTAAAAAATATTTTTAGTTTTTAAATATTTAGAATTTCAAATTATAAAATAATTTCTGCTAAACAAAAAGCTATTCTGTATAGCTTTCTTTCCCCACTGAGTTTGCCACACTATAGCTTTAAATGTGCCATAAATCCTATTACAATAAAAACAATAAAATTTTGGTAGCCTAATTCAAACAAAGACCCAAATTTTTTAAAAAGCTTAAAATGATATATCTTATCCTATTCTTACTCTCACTGGAATATCTCAGAATTCATCCACAAAAGTTTAATCTATCAATTATATGCAATTAACCCCCAAATCCACATTTTAAAAAAATTCTACTGTCTGTGGGTTTTTTCCAATTAGCTCTTGCTCTAACACCTAGTTGGTTTACAAGCAAGATCCTAACTCTCCCCTCAAAGAAAAAACAAAACAAAACACACACAGACATTTCCTTTCTCAACTGTTATTTAACACCTTCTTTTCTCCAGTTACCCAATGTTCAGTTTTGGAGGCTGATTAATTTTGTTCCTCTTGGTGTACTTCACTTTAATACTTTATTTAGCCCTCTTAACTCTTGCCCCCATATTCTTTCAGTCTCTTTATATTTCCTGTCACATCAGTCTAGGTCTTCAGCTATCTTTTTTTGTTTTTTAAGCAATAAAGGAGAATTCACTTACTCATTTACATATTCATTTCATTTTCTGCCATGTTCCACAAATGATATACAGTAACTATGAACTTATACTGCACTTATACCAAGACTGGAAATATACAGATGAACAACACAACAATGGATCTTGCCTTTAAGGAACTTACTAATAATGATTCTTAAATTACTAAAATGTGTAACTAGCTGGTTTCCCTGCCTCTGACCTCTCCCCACTCTAATCTTTCCTAAATAGTGTTCCTAAAATACTTTCTGTTGAATATTATTAATATCACCCATGTTGTCCCAACAATGGCTATCAAAACCTAAAGGTGGTTATGTTATGAAAAAAAGGCCTTAGTATCAGTATGGGCAAAGTCTGAGAAAATGTAATACAAACCATCATTTTTTGGATAAAGAAAATGTGATATATACAATGTAACATTATTCAGCCATAAAAAAAGACTAAAATCTTGCCATATGCAACAATAAGGATGAACCTCGATGGCATTATGCTAGCAAAAGAAATCAGACAGAATAAGATAAAATACCATAGGACTTCACTTGTATGTAGAATCTAAAAAACAACAAACAAAAAAACCAAGCTCACAGATACAGAGAACAGACTGGTGGTGGCCTGAAGCAGGTGGTGGAGGGTGGGCAAAATGGATGAAGGGGGTTCAAAAGTCCAAATTTTCAGTTATAAAATGAGTAAGATGAGAGATGTAATGTACAGCATGGTGACTATAATTAGTTCTACTGTATCGCATATTTGAAAGTAGCAAGGAGAGTGGATCTTGAAAGTTCTCATCACAAGAAAAAAATTTCTTTTGTAGCTATACATGGTGATGGAGGTCAACTGGACTTCCTGTGGTCATCATTTTCAATATATACAAATACTGAATCATCACACTGTATATCTGAAACAATATATTTTCAATTACACCTAATTTTTGAAAAGTCAGAAAAAAATCACTTTTTTTCCTCTGAATAAAAACCATGAATAAAAACAATTCAACTGCTGGAGAAACCTTGGATTCTGTAGGTTTTGAATTTTACACATACTAGAGAAAAAAACCAGAAATTCTAGAAGGAACTCAAAAGATAATCTAAGTTAAGATAAAGCGGCAAAGAGATCATTTAAAGATGGATGTCAGAAAGAGTTCTGAAAAAGATCAAACTCACTGTCCTGCTTTGTGTTTGTTTTTGCCTTTCCAACAACAAAAAATTTACTGTCAATTACTATTTCATTTGTTATATGAGACTCAACACACAGAAGAAAAGTCTGGACAGTTTACCAACACTGATCATATCAAAATTCTGTGAAGCAAATGGGAACAAAATGACTCAAATATGTAGAGATGGCATTCTGGTCCAGCAGGGCTGAGAGTTCACTATGAAGATACTTGGCTTTAGGTATACTGTGTCTTTAATGGCTAGTCACTGGCTCCCCAAATGACTAGTAGTGTAGGAGACCTTAACCTTGCTTGATTATCAAGGCAGGAATATCATGAGGCCAGTAGTCAAACATGATTATTTGATATGCTTTGTTAAGATTCAAATGTCATGAACAGAAGTCTTCTGTTTCATGTTGAGATTCACAGATGGTTAAAAAGAAATGGAGGGCTGGACTTTTAAAATGAAAGATAAAGTTGCTCTATTTTTAAAGCATTAGGAAAAAAACAACTGCATGAACTTTTAAAAATTTATTTTTATATTTGGCCATGAAAATGAATGAAGTATTGATTCATGCTGCAACATGGATGAATCCTGAAAACATTATGCTGAGTGAATGAAACCAGACACAAAAGGCCACCTATTGTATGATTCCATTTCAATGAAATATCCAGAATAGGCAAATCCAGAGAGAGAAAGATGGTGGTTACCAAGGACTGCAGGGAGGGGAATTTGAGGAGTCACCACTTAAATGAGTTTCTTTTTGGGGTGATGAAAATGCACTGCAGCTAGACAGAGGTATCGATGGTTAACCAACATTGTAGTATATACTCAGTATCACTAATGGTAAATTTTATGTTATGTGTTTTGCGACATTAAAAAATTACAATTTTTAATAGAGCTTGGCATATTTGGCAGATATATCTGAATATCTGACCTGTAACTTCAAATGAAAAACATCAACATACCTTTCATTATGCTTAAAAGCCTTCATTTTCTTGACTGAAGTTCTCAAAGCAAAGTTATTGAGAATGGTTCCAAGGTTAGGGGGAACCTCAGATATTACCTAGTCTATTGAATGAACTAAGGTGATAATTTCCTACTATTGTGACTAAGATCTTGTCTGCAAGCTTTTGTGGATGTCTCTTACACATTACAATCTTAGTAAGAACATATCCAAAAGGAAATCTTTGAACAAAAGTTTGATTTAGGTGTCAAAGACCTTCCAGGAAACCACAATCTGGAGAATTTCTGGTAAAAATCTCCCAGTTTACTCTCAAATAAGTGAGATCTTCTGTCATCACCCTACTTACATAAGCACATATACCTGAAGTTGTTTTTCCAAATGTTTGACCATGAAAATAAAGCAATGCTGCAGATTTAATGTTGCACATGAACTAGAGAAAGCTTTGATCTTTCACATTTTCGACATACAGAAAATTTGTAGCAGACACTCAAACCAACTTTGATATCATGTGATCCAGAGGAAAATAATGGTGTGATGTGAGATATGCAAAATCAAGTTAATTTTGGAAGTTCAAGGAGGAGTTTGGTGTTCAAACTCTACCATTCAATGCCCTACTCTTCTGATGCTCTGACTGATAAAGAATACTCACACAAGGAACTACTAGTAGGATTGACCTACCTAATTCCTTCTATGAGGTGCAAATGGTAAAGAGAAAGTGGGACAGAGACAACACTCATCAAATGTTCCATCTGCTCACCTGCATTTCTCAGTCTCCTTTGCAGTGAGCTTAGGGCCATGAACTTTCATTTCTCAGCTGATATAGTTAATAATTAATGTGTCACCCCTATACTTCTTCCCCCCCTTTGTGGCACCCTGGAAGCCATCTGTTTCACTGGTGAGGCTACACCAAGGCAGTGCCTGTCAATGTGGGTTCCTGAGGGTCTATGTGGAGCAGGGGCCTCCAGTGATTTGTGCTGTAAATATAATGTGAAAGAAAATAAATCCTTGTTAGACTGCTGATATTCCAGGCTTACTTTGTTATGGAAGCATATCGTACTCCATCCTGATTAATCTAGAAAGTTACTTTTCCCTCTAGCACTTCTGAGACAACTGAAGATCCCTTTCACATACGCAGATAAAAATGTGAGTAGAGGAAAAGGGCCCCTTTCTGTAATCACAAAAACTTTCATTCACTCATTTTTGGAATATTTTGCAATTTAACATATTTTGCAATTACAAATTATATTAACCAGAATTCAAGATATTTATGTTACTTATGTTTACCAAAATGGGGCATGGGCTAAAAAAAAGGAATGAGAAGCACCAGTTTAGAATAGATAGCCTCCATGCTCTCTTCCACTTAAGTATACTCCTAATAAGAGCAATGACCTAGTTAAAAATTCAATTCTAAAAGATGGCAGCGTGAGAGGCGAGACAGAAACCTCCTTCTAAAACCACAGATAATATGAAAATATAATTCATACAACTAATCCTGAAAGAGCAACAGGAAAGAAGGCTGCACGAGACTGCTTACACCTGGAGAAAAGAGCCGACCTCA